TGCGCACCTGCGCAGGTCCATTTGTATCGAGACTAGCCAAGTGGTCGGGGCCGAAGTGAGCACCGTAGGCGCTAGCCAGACGATCAGGCCATCGAATGACTAGAGCGCTGGCAAGCTCTGTGGGCTCGGCCGGCAATGATGCCCCGGCAGATTCATCATAGTCCCGGCCACGGCTTGACTTCTCTTCACCTCCAGTCAGGCTTGAGACCGTGATCCCGACCGATGGAGGGAACTCACGCAGATGCCCTTGCGAAGGCCAAACCGATGACTCGGAATTTGGTGAAAAGAAAGAGGAAGGTTGTGATAATGACGATACAAATGCAGGCGCGCTGTATGGATAGTCTGCCGTATGCCTGGTCGGCTGACCGGCTCGTTGTGACCGACGGTGGACATTTGACGCCGAATTCCGGTTCTGGCTATCCCCGGCGGTGTTGACTCCCGTCACAACTTGATACACCGAATTGCCTTGTCCTGCTGCAGCCTCGTTGGCCGCAGCCATCCGATGCCTGCTCGCCTCCGAAAAGCCTAGGCCTCCCCACGACCCAGCTGAGCCGGTGAGAAGACCATCCTCGATGAGGCCGGCAATGGAGACACAGGCCAATAGACCGGCGGCCAAACTGACGAGTACCGAAATGACGAGAAGACTGACCAGACTGCAGGCACGTGGGCGACGGGCAGTGGCTAAACCGTGCAAACCGGCTGTCAACATGAGCACGCCGGCCCACAGGCCAGTGGCCATCTGATGCAGAAAGACCGCTTTGCGCACAGCCACGCCGGACAGGATGACAGCAGCGAATCCGCAGAGCAGCTGTATCACGCTGAGCACAAACAGGTTTTCGTTGGCGGCCAACCGACGCCGCGGCCAACTCGAGAGGCTGGACAGGCAACAGCGCAGACCGGAAACGGAGGTGGACAGACAAAAGCGCGAGGAAGCGGGCATCGCCAACGCCCAGCCGAAGCAGTCGTGGAGGGGACAACGACGCTTTCTAGACGCACCAGTTGTCCGTCGAGAAGAGTCGCCAGTTGGTGATCTTGGCTCAGAGCCGGAGCTCGAGGGCGAGCGAGACCGGAACCACGGGCGAGCTCTGGACCAGGTTCGCGATAATGGCAGGCATCGGTCACAGGCCAACTTGCCGGTGCCCCGAACGAGGTGCGGCTGTGGCTGGTTCTGAAGCAGCGGCCTTCCGCAAATATCAGAGTCGGCCACTGTGTTGCCGGCGTCTACATATCTGAGGCCCAGGGGTCTGGCGGCCGACGGCGAAGTGGCCAGTCGACCGGATACCGAAGACAGCCAGGAGGTGGAGACAAGAGGATTGCTGTCGTCCGACTCTACTGGGAACGAGACCTGTCTGGAGTCCTGAAAATGAGGGTCGTGAAGCCAGGCGATCTGGTGCGTGGAGGATGGCAAGAAGTCGGTGCTTGCAGCGACAAGCGGGAGCACATGAGCCGTCGTCACGCAGGCGTTGAGAGGGCAACTGGCGCCCTCTTCACGCCGGCCGGCTCGCGGTTCGGACAAGGAGGGTCTGGGGGCCGATGAGCTGTTCTGCGACGAACCAGCGAGAAGCATACTCTGTCTTAGTCGCCAGATGAGCGCTCTGGTCAGAGATCTTGACTGTGGACGTGAGAGTCTTGAGACTACGGATAGACTTTGAGAAATATCGTCTCCACTGGTCGCATAATTTGCAGCAGGTGGAAGAGGAGAGGTGACCGGAATCGAAGCGGTCACAGCATCATTCAACTCTCCAGAGATTAGGGCTAGTTGAGTCGACTTAGGCTGTCGGGCCAGATCTCTCAGCCGATGCGAGTTACTTAGGAGGCGCCGATTTCGAGAATATGACTGCTGCCCTACAGCCGAAATGTCGCACTCGGCCGATGGGACATCATTTGAGATGATGGACGAGGTATTGCTGGTGACGATGCAGCCATCTGCAGTGGCAGACCGGCCAAATCGGCCTCCAGTTAAAGCGGTATCTTGCCTTCTGAATGCTCGTGGGCCAACTAAGTGAAGGGAACTCGGCATGAGCAGCGAGGTGGATGGACACGAAGCAAAAAGGTGAGATGAAAGAGGAATAGGATGCGGCTGAAGAACAAATTGGACAGGAAGAAGTGTTGAAGAGGGTGAGGTGGAGGGCGGAGTAAAGGGCTGTGGAGAAGGATAAGCATTAAGAGAAGAG